CACTATTGCTAGGCAGCTTTGCTGATGAGGTGACCTTGTTAACGATCAGATCCTGGGTAGGAATCAGTGGCTGAAAAGAAAAGAAGGTGCTCCTGGTAACTGAACGCAGAGCAGCTCTGAACACCAGGCTGTTTCTCCCAGTGTGTCTTAAGCATCCATCATTTTATTGGGTGTTACAGGGGCCTCCCCTGCATGTGACAGTGTGCACTGTGAGCAGGCAGTTGCTGTCCTAACACACGACCAGGTGTGAGAGACAGTGGGTGGGAAAATAAACAGTGCAGGGAGAAGTGACTGATCTATGATTAGTTTTTCATGCCAGTTTTGGAGCAGCATGTGGGAGTTCTCTTCAGTAACCTCAGGGAGTAGTGTTGTTAGGTTCCTTTTCTTCCCTAGGAAAAGGATGGGAGAGTAAATGACCAGATAACAAAGCAATCGGAGTTTTATTTAGTGACACAAGAAACAGACAAGTCCATAAAAACAAATTTGATCAGCTATCACTGCTGGTGAATTACATGGCCTGGGCAAACAAAGCCTCTGTTGGTCAGTGTATTAACCAGTGGAGGGGAGACTGATTTATTAGTCTGCATCCGTTCAGTAATTGTCAGTCCTTAATCCCCTAAAGGGAAAGTAACCACCTATGCTTATCGCTCGAGGAAAGACACTAAAGCAAACAGATGCTGTAGCGTGGCAAAAAGGGTTGCCACTTGAACACGGCTTGTCTATCCCAAATATAAGTGACTGCTGATGGTTCCAGTCAACAAGACAGTGATGCAGTTGATTCTGAGCACCCGCTATTGGGACTAAAGCTCGGAGTACCGATTTGGCTTTATTCCTGGATCTGCTGCAGGTCACTTGGGTATAGCGCTTCACTTGCCCGTGCTTTAGTTTTTGGTCTCTGACACAGACATTAGCCTTCCATATAAAGGACTTCTGAGGTTTGCAGAATGCTTAATGTGCAATGGGTACTTAGGCAGACTGAGATCTTTAAATGCTCCAGAGGTGAGTAGTGCACTGTTATTCAAAGTGCTTTGTTGTTCACAATATCCCAAGTGATCACTAGAAAAGGCATAGATTGACAGCGTAATTTCTGCCCCTCTTGCCCTCCCACTGCGCATGCCTGAAACTTGCCGTTGTTTCTTTTCTGAGACTCCTCAAGACTACTCAATGTTTTCAGGAGACGGCTATGCAAATGTGAGCTGCTAGTACCTGATTGCTTCAGACTGACATTTTTAAATTTTTGGTTAATGTTTTTATAACCTAAGCCTATGATAATGAGAGTCTAGAGTATGTGCCTCCTGCTACCACATCCAAAGGAAGTGTGTGTCTAAGAAACCTGTTATTAGCAGCTCATATTTTGTTTGTGCGGTGACATCGAAAAGACTTTCAAAGCTACTTATTTTCCCTTGCTGTAAAGGCAGATCTCTTTCTGCAGCAAGGGACAGATCTGTTCTTCAGATCTCAGCCTGAGCTATATTGTCTGGATGAGGAGAAGTCTGGGGATGAGAAATGCTTTTGTTCCTGAGCCATGGAAATCTCCTTTGATCCTTATGCCCTTTCTGTGCAGTAGCTGGAGATTATCATCTGTCACAGTATTTCTGCCCTCACGCCTGCCCTAAACTGTGTTTGTTCTAAGAGCGTCTGGAGACCTCATCTCATCTGTTAACAATGGGACTGTTCCGGTAGCTCTTGGTTGAGGGGAAACTCTGAGGATGGATTGAGACAACTCATCAGTGTGAGTGGTAAGAAATGGTAGTGTTTAACTGCCAAGGTCTGAAGTACCGATCCCTTCTTTCTAGGTGAGTGTGATAGTACATAGCTGGGCCATGCGCCTGTAGTGCATGGATGAGTTGCGCTAAATAGTTGCTCCCTGCGCTTTTCCATTTCTCTTCTAGGAGAAGAATCTGTAGTTGTGTTTTCTCGACACAAGCAGTAGCTGGAAGATGGGTCAACCTCTACGTGCAGGTCCAGGGTGTTGAGGAGCTGTTGTACGTGGAACTCTTTCCTTTTAGTGGTAATGTTTAGAATTAGCTTCTGCACGTGCTTCCTTGGGACTTCTGAGGGCAGAAATGTACCCTCACAGCTCATGGCACTTTTCATCTTCAAAGTACGTTATAATCATTAATACATTAATTGGGCATTCTCCCCTTCCTTCCTGCTAACAAGGTTTATTAAGCTGAATGTATTTATCTTTGGGCAGCTTCTACAAGCAATTGAGTGCATAAATTTCCTTATAATTTTGATAGCAAAGACATGAAAGGGAACAGGGATGATGGGAAGAATGGGCAACAGAGGTAAATAAAGCTGCACTGTGAAAGAAAGGGAACAATTTCCTTCAAGGTGCATCTCCATCTTCCTCTGCCACTCCCACCTGGCAGCTGTACAGCCTTTGCAGCTTCTCTCTTGCCTGATGTATGTGTCGCACACATCCATGCAATGTGTATGCCAGCACACACACATGCAAAAAAGGAGGTCCTGAATGACTGGGATCTGCAGGAAAGGAGAAAGTGAAAATAACTTGCAGGTGGAAGTTGAAAAAAGCCATTTGGAAAGTTTGACTTGAACCTATGCTGATGGTGTCTTTGGTGTATTTATGTGAGCCAGCATAATGTAGCAGAATATTTCACAGTAGGTGAGTTGCAGGACCCAGGAAGTAGAGGAAGGTCATGAATGACTATGGCAGGGGGTTTAAGGCACTGAAAATTACTGAGAAGTAACGTAAAGCAAATGAAATCCTACTTTTTTTTTCTCATCTTTACCCCTCCAGAGTTGTCTGTTGTGCTCTCAAAGCACACACAAATGCGTGGTGTAAGGATGTTGTCATGCACATGCTCTTTGGCTCTTACTCTCCTAGTAAATGGTGGGGGAAGGGCATGAAAAGCGTTTGCTCTGCATAGGGGAACCTCCCTAGAAAAGGGCTGAGACTCAGTGGTTGCATGGTTTGGATGCTGTGCTGTGAGTTTACCGATTTACATCTTAGGCGGTGCTCTGCCACTTGCTAAATGACTTCACCACTGTCTTCCTCCTTGTTTGTTTAAATTCACAAGCTTAAGACCAGAAGGGACCATTAGATCATCCAGCCAGACCTTTTGTGTATCACGTGATAGCCCACAAAGCATGACAAAGTTCTGCTGTGTTCTGCAAAGTAAGCCCAATAACCTGTGTATAGTTGCAACGTATCTTCCGCAAAGCCAAACTTTTGACATTAAGCTCTTCGGAGCAGGAGCTGTGTTCTCCTACCGGTTCTTTGAGCAGAGCTTCTCAGCAGTGTTATTAAATTAAAATTAGCACCAACAAAAGCAACAACAAGGATAATAGATTATATTGTAATTAAAATTGATATTAATGTTTTATTGGTTAAGTCTGCAAATTATTTTTTTAAGCCCTGAAGCCAGCCACTATATATGAACAGTAGCCTTCAGAATTATAAAGTGCAGAGTTGCAAAAAGGAGACTGGGAGACGGGTTTTCAATTCTAGTCTGCAGATATTTCTGCAGGGCCAAAACACCAGGTATTAGAGAGCTCTTTAATGCAGTAGAAGAGGATGTACCAAAAAAAAAAAAAGGAGGAAAAAAAGAAAAAAAAAAAAAAAAAAGCGCTAGGAGCTATTTTGCAAATTTGCGAAAAGGTACAAATTGTTATTGAGCTCCATATAGCAATAAGGGAGTGAGAAGTTACAGCTGATGGCATCCAGGACAAATGATGTGATTCTGTGAAATGCAGATTTTATTAAACAACATAGAAAATCAGCCCTATTCTTAACGCCGTATTCTTTATCTCTTAACTCCTTATTTAAGGTTCAAGTTTCCTGAAAATAGTAATATTCCTGCTTTTGCTTCTAAAGGAGCAAGTAGGAAATAGTCTGCCCATGTCACTTTAACAGAAGGTGGTCTGCCACATGGAGCAAGTATTTTTGGTAAGAATTCTTGCAACTACTGTGAGTTTAAATTCCCACAGCTTCACTCAAAAACTTTGTCAGACCCAAAAGATCTTTTTTCTTTATATTCTTTTATTGAAAAAGCTCAATTAGTTTTGAAATCTTAAAAGAAGAAAACCCTGACTTTGTATTAAGTGTTTGTGATGGGCCAGGGGTTGCAGATGGGATGGAAGGATCCTTCTTATCCACCTGCATGGCTGTAAGAGGAGCTTGTCCGCTTTGGTCGTGCAGGGCTTGATCGCAAAGTTCACTGAGAAGTGGCCTGAATTGATTAGCTGCAATAGGAGCAGTCCTCCTAGTAGCTGTACTAGCTGTACTAGCTTACTACAGTGCTCTGGCAGAGGGGTGCTGGTGGGGTTAACTTGAAGCGGTTTAAGGCCTTATCACCACCGTCTTTGCATCCAGCTGGAGGTTACTATCCCTGCAGCAGCATCAGCAGAGCGGAGCTATCTCTCACCTCAGACCCTGCACCTCGGGGCCTGGTGCATTACCCCAAAGTGCTGGGGAGGGCATAATTAAATTAAATAAATAAAATAAATATCCAAGTGGCAGAGAAGCTAACTCACCTTTACTCCTGCTGGTCCCTGTTGTGAGGCAGTAATTTTTGTGGCAGACAGACAGGTCAAATGCAACTGGTAAAACCTAAAGGAATATCCTGAAGGGATGCAGCTAAATCTGGCAGGGCTGCCCCTAAAGCCCCAGGGCATTGCATGGCAGTACAGCAGTGCTGCGGGAGACACCCACAGCAAGAGTGGACATAGCCAAACTACTTCTGATCTGGTTTCCCACGAGTACCAAAGCTTAAAATACATTGAGCGACATAATTGCCTGCGGGGTGGGCTGGGGAAGGGGTGCTCTCTTCTCTGTAGCCCCTTCCAGCCTAGCACTGTAGCTATTGCCACCACAGCTACCCTGATTATAGCTGGCCCAAGCATACCGAGAAATGCTGCGGTCATACCTCTGATGGCAGAGTTCCTTAGTCTTTAAGGCCTTGCTTTGGGCTTCAGGACAAGAATGGATTCTGTCTCTTTTC